TATAAAGTTGATCGTGTGGAAAGATTAAAACATTGAATTCATATGTTATGTAGCACTGATATACAAGTTTCATTTTAATCCTTTGCATTCACTTCACACTAATGTCCTTGGGAAATGCATGAATCAATTGCATCTCCCCTTTCTATTCAGCTATAGGCTGAATAGAAAGATTCAGCTAGGCTCTCTAGCAGTCGGTGGCAGCCAATCTAGAAGCACAATTGAATTCAAAACCAAAGAGAAGGCAATTGGAAACCACTTCACTTTCTTTCCCAAGAAGTTATGTTAATTCCCAAATAATAAATTACTGTCTGCATCCTAAAGAAACAGGACACAAAAAAATATTTTAACAGAGGCAATTCATGTTTACTTTGTGGCAAACTTTCAACAAAACAGAGGAAGTAAAATTTAGTCCTTTCTAAACAAGAGTTTTTTTTTCTTTTTTAAACTAATATTCACTCATACAAGGCCCAAGAGCCACTCAACAGATGGTTACTGAAGGAGGTTGTTGGGTGAGTGGTAAGAGTAAGAGGTAAGAGGCATAGTTTATGAGGACATGTGGTAAACAGTTAGCCACAGACTTGGTTGATTGTAGCAATTGGGAAAGCATCCTCTTGGGAGTCAGTTCCATAAAGCAGCAGTTTATGGGAAGAAGCTGGTAGGATGAAACATTTCTTACTAAGGGAATACAATGGGAATGACTGTGATTCACCTCAGTGTACGTTGTGTGACTTAGTTGATAGAATTAAGGAATGTAGCTCATCTGAATATTTTCCATAAAATATCAAGTTAAAAAAAAATAAAAAAAGTACTTATATTGAAGAAATCTTATCTCAAAAATAAATTTAGTCAAAATATTAAGGACTTTTTTTTTTTTTTTTTTAAAATAGGCAATTCTGTATAGTCCATAAAATTCAAGTACTTAAGTTTTATATTAAAAAAGTGAGAGAGGAAAAGTTATGCTTTGAAACATCACAAGCTGAAAATAAAAACTCTCACTCACACACACAGAACATAAACAGCTGCTGTGAACATTAACCAAATAAATGGGCAGTTATTACTTTTAAAATGGTTGCTGCACCATTTAAAAGCAAATTCTTGATATATAAATTTAAAGATATTTATAATAATAAATATTTTTAAAAGATTTTGAATGCTGTTATGAGTTAATGTTATTGTTCAATATAAAATATGACCAATTTTTACAGTCCCCACCTCTGACACTCAAACGTTCGCTGTTGCAATTTGAAAGTATTTTTTTTCCCCAAGTTTTCCCTCTGATAACAAGTAGTAAGAACTGAACAAATATAAAGTAACAGATTGAGATCAGCTTTAAATTATTTTCTTTTTATATTCATGGAAAATTGAATCAAGGACTGGGAACTTGATTTTACAGATGAGGGAATCATTCCATGTTACTATTACGGGTTTGATGAGGCTAATTTTGCAGCATCCCAAATTATCATGGTTATTTGGAAGGGGGCATTGTAGTTAGCTACTGAAAAATAAAATGAAACATATCAAATCAAATAAAAAATATATTAATGAAACATTTCATCTGCTACTTTGAGTGTATTTCTTTTACTATGTAAGCAAGAGCTCAGATCTAGGATTCAGTGAAAAATAACTTTTATGCCTCCTGTTATGAAAATTATTGACAGTAATAATCGTGGTTCAAAAATCTGCTACAATGTATAATAAACGCATCACTCGTAAAATCAAGTTGTAACTTTTCCTGTGAATTTTTTTCCTAGCCAAGATTGTGACTTTCTTATATGACTATTACCAGCCATGATAAATACATCAATTCCTTTTAATGAGCAAGATTTCCTTAATTTTCAGACTAATGACTCAATTTGGCTTTCATTCTTGTAAGGAATGAAGTGAGGACATATATGTGGAAACAATTCCAGGAAATCAGATACCTATCAAATAGAAAATTGTATACCACCTATGTTAATCTCACAGCATCATATTACCACATGTATAAAGATTTACCCTTTTCATCAATCAGAAACCATCTTCCAAGCTATGATATTCCACCGAATACCTTGATCTGATAGAGAAACTGTATTGATCCACAAAGTCATATATGTCTGATGAATAAGCAAACATCAAATCATTTCAGACCTCATCAGGTGTACAAGGAGTAAAGAAGATCCTCAATCTAATCTCTTCCTAGACTATGTTCTGCATATATACAAGTACAGATGTGAAGAGATGGGCACTGATCATTTAAACAGTCCATACCACATCTCAAATCTTCTAATTGAAAACAGTGTTCATGTTTTCTCTCCTGAGGCCAGTGTACTGATGAAGGTGTTCATAGTTTGTATAAAAATGATCTTGAACAGAAATCAACATTCTTTACCAAGTGTTCCAAAAAGTAGTAAGAATTTGGATAAACCTTTTCAAAACAAACCTAGATTTAGAATTGGAATGAAAGCAGTGATGTTATATTCGGTGTTCATTATAAAAATTCAGAATGTGCCATTAATAAATATTAAATACTTCAAATACTGGATAAGTTACAACCAATTTAGTATAGAAGATAAGGAAATCAAACACTAAATAGACTGCGCAAGGGTAGTTTTATCAAACACAGCAAGATTTTACAAAAGTAAAATATCAACCAAAGAACTCGATTCATGTTCTTAAATAGCCTCATCAGATCTAGACTCAAACTAGTTCAGAAATGGATAGACTATAATCTAGACCCAATGATTGTCTTAGATGAATGATTAAAAATTTCAAGCATATGATTCCTTTAGGTCCTAAAGTCCATCATTGGATCTGAGATACTGTTATTACAAAATCAAAGAAAGCTTTACCAAACAACCAACCATCTGATCTAAGCAATTTGGTGTTTGCTTTTTGGCATGTATATATAGATTTAAATTTCAAATTTGTTTTGTGTATTTTACTTAATGTTCTTCTGCTAGTGTTTGGTAAAAGGAAAACAAAAACATAGAAAGTTCTAAATCTTTCAACTTGGTATGATAAGTAAAGAGAAGAAAGAACCCACCAATCCCTCCTACTCTATCACTATTTCCATAGCATGTGTTCTGACGGGCACTTTAATATGGATAGGAAAAAGAGTTATCAACCTGGTAGGAAGAAAAATAAAACCTATCAAACAGTACATGAACTCCAAGAATCAACAGCCAGCTAACTAGACAAGGTATCTCAGTGAAATCATTATGCAGAAAGAAATGAGAAAACACTCCACTATCCAAAAGAACAATCATGGCAATGCACAACTCGGAAATATCTGATGATTGCATAAAGAAGGTCAGTTCCCTTGGAACTGACTCCTCATCTGGTCACATATGTGACAGATGTTATCTGTTATTCAGTGACAGTCTGCATCAAAGATAAAATCATAATTAGAACATAGAATATCAGGATGCTGTACAAAAGTTGAAAGTTAGAAAATGTAGAACAGGAAATGGTAAAGCTGAATATCATTATTTTAGGAGCATGTAAAACAAGACAGAAAAACAATGAGGATTTTATAAGCAACAATGACAGAATCAAACACAGGAGGAGAGAAAAATGAAAGAGGAGTGGGACTAATATTAGATAAAGACAAGAGAATGTGCATTTTGTGGGTACAAGCAACTGATGAAAGAGAAAGAAGTCATTCAATATAGTCATTATAGTAGTATATAGACCTACATCAGAAAGCAAAAAAGGAAGAATTAGATGTTTTACAACACATTAAAAATGTCAAATACTAGAGCAAGTATCAAGAATTTATTATCATGGAAAAGCCCAATGCAAAAGTAGGAAAGGAACAAGATACTGAACTATTTGGTAAGTATGGACTTAGCGTAATAGTATCTGTCTTCCTGTATGACAGCAAATGCTGGACAATCACTTCAAAGATGAAGAGACCTGAAGCAACAGAAATGTGGTTCTATAGAAAGATGCTGAGGATACCATGGGCTGAACATGTGAGCAAAAACAAGGTTGTGGAGAAAATGGAAACAAAAAAAATTATACCTAACATCAGGAAGGGGCAGTTGAAATTTCTGGGGCACGTAATGAGGAAGGCAAGCTTGGAAAACACAATATTCACAGGACAGATTAAGATAAAGAGGAAAGCAGCTCGTAACATACTTGATGAGCTTCAGCAAAATGGATGGTAAAACAGGGTTTGAGGGAAATAACAAAAATAAAACTTATTAAGAGCTACAAGGGACAGGAAGATGTGGAAGGCCATAATCGCCTACATCCTGAAGGGACATAGCATATAAAAGAAGATAATGAATATAGAAAAAGCAAAGAAAAAAAGGGTTTATTGGGGTACAGAAAATAGCCAAATGCTTAATTGTTGAGATTAAAAATACAACAGGGGACACTGAAAAAACAGACTAATTAACCATCAACAAATGATTTAGAAATGCAGTTTTACATTTTAAAAATATATCCAAGCATTGATTACACAAGTAATCACCTCTTAGTCATATGCCAGCAAAGTAAAAGCAAGTAAGACTAAGTAATGCTGAAACTGCAACACAACAAACCCAACAGCAATTCCATTTGCAAACAAACATATACAGTTACAATTAAGAGTAAATATGAAATAAGGTCAAGAACGTCTAAAAGGAAGCGTACAGGTGAGAACAGCAAAACAAGTCAGTCCAAGGAAAGACAACAAAACAAATAATGGATGACGGATGAAATTCCCAATCTAAGAGATAACAAAAAGATAAAATTTATTAAGAGCTACAAAGGACAGGAAATTGTCAAGGGACACTGCATATAGAATTGATGGATTCATTTTTTTTTTTACAGCTTAACCTTTTGCAGGTTATTTAAAGGCAGAAAATGATTTTAGATTGTCAGAATTTTTTTGAAGATAATGATTTACTGATACAAGTCCGACTAATAGCTGGGGGGGAAGCAGGTTTTTTTTTTCCCCCCAAGTGAATATAAATCCAATCTGAGTTGACTCCAATTTTGAGCAGCTATCCATTACACCACCCACACATCCAAGTTTACAGCACTTGGTATTCCCAAGCAGTCACCCATCTAGTTACTAATCCGGATCAACACTGCTTAACTTCAGTGATTGGATGAGAACAAGTGTTTCAATGTGATATGGCCGTTAGCCTAAGTTATAAGAAAATTGGAAATGAAAAGGGAACTTAGATTAAGATAAAATTTCTCAGAAACATAGCGAGGAAAAAAGGTTTGAAAAATTTGACAGTAACAAAAGCAATAGGGACAGGGGAAATCAAGGAGCAACCTACTTAATGGCAGAATAGGGAATGGGAGGGGGAGTCAAAAGACAAATATTGCTTAGAGCTAAAAAGATTGGTAGTTGTGGAGAGTCCTGATCACTTACATCCTGAATGGCCACAACACATACAAGAATTACTAGAGAGTTATTTTCACTTGTAACTTCTCCCAGTTTAAAAACACCAAATATTTCTTGTACAAGTATTCTGAAAAGTTTGGATCAATCCAAATAACTGCATTCAATTCTACAAGATCTTTTAGTAAATGTGCTTTATTTAGGCATTTGCAATAAAACTTATTTGTTGGATCAATATTTCCAATATTTGGAAAGTGAACACTGTTTTATAGATATGTTTTACTTATTCTGAAGATTTATCATATAAAGACTTAGTATATTTATATAGGAAAACTAAACAGGCAAGTATAATAGTTATGTAATAAATAGTGAGGTATATGAATATAAATACATAATAGGTATAAATTTTAAGACAACTTACCAGATACCACTGTTTATTATACAAGGGATCATTAAATGATAATGTTTCATCTGCATCTCGTTTGATACGTTTCTTTGCAAATTGCTGTTCAAACCATAAAATCTAGAAAAAGAAAAAAGAAAAGGCATGATATAAAAGATATATAAATGCAATTTTAAGAATAAACAACATTTGAATCAAGCATATATACTAGTGAGTGGTGTGTCCATAACATTTTGAAGTCAGTCAGAAAGATAAATCAATAAACCTTTTATTAATTTACAGTTGTCACTTTAGTTCTCTATTCTTTCTTGACTAAAAATCTGCTCACCTTAGAATACATTAACATTTTATTAATTTTATGTTAGTTGGTTTTTTAACAGCATATCAATTTATGGGTCATTTAATGCCAAAATTTAATTTTCTTGAGGGCTTTGGTATATTTTTTTTATTATTAAAATCTATTGCTAGTATTTTTACTATTAAAAAAAAAAATTAAAAAAAATTAAAAAATAAAATAAAATCACTATTTGCCCATAGCTGGGACCTTAACTGATGCTACCACCCCAGGTCAGTGTGGACCTGAGAACAACAGCAATTAAGAGGTGGTTCCATGCTCCACAACCACCTGATCAGAGGTCTTGCTGTCAGTTTTAATTTTATGTATTTTTATAGGTTTTATTGATTGCTATTATTATTACTATATATAACAGAGTGATGGTCATAGCAATTTACACCCAATTGTAATGTATATGAAACGTTAAGTAGCATTGAACAGTGAGGATCTTATATATATATATATATATATATATATATATATGACCAGTGACTTAGTTTCCAAGCACACCCATCTGTTAAGGAGGTTAGCTAATCATTGTTGCAGACCCTTGCTCTGGCATATTGGTGTTTATTTAACACCCACAGATCCCACCTGTGGTCTATACTGCAACTATGCTGAGCTTAGTTACACTTTTTAGGTTGAGGGGCATAGAATCTAATATGATCAACAGTTTGAAGTAGGCCAGTATGCTGAAACCCTCAGTCACAATGAGTTATTTTGTGCTTGCACAATCAACAAATATATATACACACACACACACATACCCCATATAAAAAGGGATTAGACTGATCTTAAGCATGTTTTCTACAAAAAACAAATTTAAACTTAGATATTCATAAGTAATGTTTTCAGCTAATAGAAAGGTTAGTCAAAACACAATGACTCTTGTTCTTTAATGACAGCAGATTTAATAGTTGGACGCAAACTAAAATTAATACAACAATCTGAGGATACCAAATGCACTCCTTAATCTTCTTGCCTCTTAATTGCTTTATTACCCTTTTAAATGAAGGCATATATCATTGCTTTGTAGAAGTTACCTTTTCACCTCATCATAAGAGAACTGCTGTCCTTCATGAGCTCAACCAGATGAAAAGTCAGGACGACTTCATGGTATCTTTCAGCCTCCTTGGAAACCACTTTACACAGAGCTTGGTGTAGTTGAAAGACTGTATGAAACTACAAGCACTACCATAGCAAACCTGAACACTTTCAGAGTTTTGCAAAAATTATAGTTCTAGCAGTTGTAGTGTGAGTATAAGCCTGCTTGGCTCTATCTTCATTCACAGTAGCAGCAAGCTTGCCACTGTAGGACCTGTTACTAAGGTCAGTTCCTCTGTCAATAACTCAATTGACCCATCTCCTAATTACACATTCCTTTTTTTCTGTGGGTTCAGAAGGACAACCAGTTTGGAAAAAGATAATACTATAAGTTTTCCCCTGGTTTTCAAAATACTTTAGTTTAGAGTTTAAAAAGAAATCAATAAATAATTATGACTTAATACTGTTAAAAATAAATTAGAAGAGGCATTACTTTTTGACATAGTATGTGTGTGAGTATATGTAAATACATGGCATATTTGATTTAAATTTCATTGATTGCATTATAAAATGTGATGAAGAGAGCATTGTCTCTTTATTACTTTTTTTTGTGTGTAGTTTTTAACTTTCTCTTAACAAGTATTATATTTCTCTTGTTTCAGATATCCCATTGAATTTTTATGACATGTATAGGAATCTTTATGTATTAGACAATAAAAAAGTTCTTTCACTCAGTTTTTATAATTGGGTAATAGTGATAAAAAAAAAAAAAAAAAAAAAAAAAAAAAAAAAGATTTCTAAACTTTTGTTTGAAAACAAGCAGGTGAATTGAAATATAAAATATTTATTTTGTAGAGAATTCATTTTTTTTCTGACAGCAGAAGTGGGGGGCTGATATTTAATGTGTTATATTTTCTTTAGAATTGTTCATTCTTCAAACAATTATATTTGTAAATTGTCATTTATATTCTATGTTCCAAAAGGAAAATGATTACAAAGAGTTTTCTCTCATGATTTTTTTTTCTTTATTACATTCTGGAATTTGAATCAAACTCACTAAATATCGAAATGACTCATAAAAACTTTAGCAGCGTACAAAGTTATACTCCAGTTAATTACCATGTCTCGTGCAACTGTCAATTCATTTGTTAATGTCATTTAAATTTGTCTGCAGAGAAATTTTAAAACCTGAACTAAAGAGTTACAGTTAACTCTTATTTAAATTGTACATGTTTAAAGGGGAAATTTGTAGAGCATGATTTGATCTTCTGGCAGCCATAAAATTCTAGTAAAGGAGAGCAATTGATGTAAATAGACAAGCTTCTCAAGGTAAGAGATGTGAGTTCCAGCCTTGGCCAAAGACTCGACAATTTACTGATCATCTAAGTAGTCATGGTGGAGTAATAGTTAGTGGCTTGGATTGAGGAATCAAAGAGTTGAGCTCATTACATTGACTTACGTGCTAATACCCTTGGGAAAGGCTACGAATCCATCTCTTCCCCACCCCAGCTATGGGTAAAATAGTAGCACAGACTGGGTCCTATAGCCTTGGGTGGCATCCAGTCTATGAGAAGGAAACTGAATTCAAACCAGATCACACTATCCTAAAAGTGTGTATACATGTGGCTGAGGAATGCTTGTAAATCCAAATTGCCACTGAAACTCTTATTTGCATGTCCAAATAAATACAACCTCTGCTATGCTTGGTCAGTTTTCATTGGATGCTGTGTCAAAAGGAGTCATAGGAAATGAGAGGAACTAAGTAGTCACAATGGAAAGTAATTGAAATTAAGATTTAAGAAATATTAATCAAAAGGTGATAAATGGTTGACAATATTTCATCTAATAAAATATTCAAGATAATATTACTATTAATGTTTGTAGATGATGGAATAGTTATAATGAAAGGCAAATATGATAAAAAGAAATATCTATTAAAAATGAATGATTGCATATCTAATTTATTCTATTTATTCAGTTAACCTTTGGCACTCTGCATTATTAATATTACTTCCCACTGCATTCGTTTTCAAGACCTCTCAATTGCAGTATCCTTATTTCACTCAAAGTTGTTTTCTGTTGCCATAGCAGGATATGACAAGACAACTACGAAATTCATACACACTATTCTTCGGGGATAAGTCACTTTCAGTGGCATGGTAAATGCTTTGTACAGAAAATGAAGTCAAATACAGTTACTAAGGTTAATAGAAAAAGTAAAAACATGTAGAGTTTTGGTTAATTTTACTACTTTCATAGAAATACAATATTTTTCTTAAACCTTTAACATACTTCAAGAGTTACAAGTAATTTTGAAGCAGTTAATGGAATTTTTAATCCAACACTTACTCATTTCTATAAATAAAAAGAAAGTTCTATAAATATTATATTTAATAGGTATCTGACTTGTTTTTTTTTAAACAATAAAATTAATGTCTACTGGTTTATAGGTTGTGAGTCTTAATGAAGATGTTCCTTCCCCCCAAAATTAAATTTGTATTCCTTTTCTTATAATCAGAAGAACAGCATTTAATCTAAGTGTGCTTTACCATTAGGCCACAGGAAGCCATCAAGAAATAAACATATCTTTTTGAAATCTTTTAAAGTCTATATCTGCTAATTTTATTTTTGTACCTGAACTGTAAACAAAGTAAATTTTAGGCAGTTAATGGACATTTTTTTAATCTGACATTTATTTGTTTTGTATTTGCCATTTTGCTTGTTGCCTATATTAGTACATTTCTGCTTGACCAATTGTTGTATAGATCTGCATCCTCATGGTTCCTGGTTATACCAAATAACCAAAAACATCTGGTTAATTGAACTGTAACTTCAATTTCCCTTCTGGTCTTAACCTTTGCACTAGAATAAAGGTCACATATAGGGGGTAAGTTTTTTTTTTTTTTTTATTGTTTATTAATGTTCACCCTATGCAAGGCTACTCAAGGTAGAGGGTTACTGCAGGCAGATGTGTGAGTGGTAAGAGTAAAAAAGTGCAATTTATGTGGATA